TATTATTTAAATTATATAAAACTATAGGCTTTAAAATATGCCGAATTTACCGCTGATGGAGAGAAATAGCAGGAAAACTAATGAGGTATTCATGTTCATCCTTTGCTCTGTTCGATGACTACTCGATTAATTAACGAAATGGGCATTCTTTTATTATGTTCAACACCTGTTCTTGCAATTGGGAAGGCGTTTACTATTGTCAATTGCCTGTCAACTTTGGTGTCTGGTGTTCAAGTTTTGCTCTAATTCTGTCATGTGCTTTGTTTAGTAGTGTTTACAACAGCCGTAATTTTCAAAATATGAAAAATATGAAGCTTTTTTTTTAAATAAATTATTATAGAAGTTTGTAATATCTCTTTTTTATACACATAAAACACCTTAAGTTAGAGTTATATGATTTGTTTTCAGGGAAGTCGTGAGTTTGTGAGGGGCGTGAGGACATTTCTGTAATTATTTTTAATATAAATTAACAAGTAAAATGCTCGTTTAGTAGCCTTAAAGAGTTTATATTTTGTTAATAAAGATCATATTAATTATTTTATGGGGTAGGAAGCACATACTGTTATAAATTTTCCCTAAGAAGTTTTCTGTGTATTCAGGGAAAAATCCCTTACTTCTTCCTCTTCATGATCCTGTTTGTATTAAATATTGTTCAGATTTTTTACAGTAATTAATGTAGAAAAATATAAAAGAGTATTTTTATTATATAAATCTCATTAAGTATTATATAACTTATAATCAGTGAGTGTTTTATGAGTTAATAATGAGAAATTAATTAAAAAGTAATTAAAATTTTCTCTTTTTTATTATGAAAATAATAGGATTTAAATAGACATTTTATAAAGTAATTATTATTAATTAACGAATTTTATGTTATTTAAAATGACAAGACGTTTTATGGTTTAACATAAAATTCGCTTGTAATAAAGACACGTGTACTTAACGAAGCGTTTAACCACCCACACATTCATTTTTAAACGTTAAATATTTTAGTTTTAAATATATATTTTTTAAATTATAAAAGAAGTTTTTCTAAAATAGTAGCAAATATGACGTGTTGCACAGACGAATAGAGATAATAATTATAATTTAAACAATATATAAAGTTTGGTTGATATTGTTTGAAGGGTTTAGGGGTTAAAAACATGTGCTGTCTGTCTGTGTGTCTGTTTACAAGTTCGTTATTTAAACCATACTTTCTTACAGGCCTATATATATATAATAACTATACTTAATATAATTATAATTATTATATAAAGTAGAGGAGTGGGTTCTAGTCTACTACATTGCATCTGTTATACGAAGCCTCTACACTTAAATTGCTTATAAAAGTATATAAATATAAAAATATTTAATAATTATCTGTACAGTAAACAAGCTTATTTACAAATGTACGGTAGGTCACACGTTTTATTTTCAATAATTAGGTTAATTTTGAACACATTTTCGTATAGATGTGTGTGCCTTATGTACAAGAGCACAAAGTTAACTAATATAATCTTTAATAATTATATTTTAAAACACACGTGACTTAAGATACAGACCGGTAGTTCGTATATAGTCAATTCAATGTCAGGCCCGTAACCTCTGAATTATTGCAAGGTGTGTGGAATAATTGGATCACCTGTCTGGTCATCGAATATACATGAACATTCATTTGTCAATAGTACACGACATATGGAACATCCCTTATAGTATTACTTTTGTATTTTTCTTGTATATTTATTGTACATTTTCTAATTTATTATAAAATGTTACGAGGTAAAGCAAATAACAACTCTGCAATTCATTCATATTTATTTAGATATATCATAAAGGTACAGTTATTAATCCATTAACATCTCCAATGGTTTAGAGATCAAAGGGGAGATCCAAAATTCTGTAAAATATAAACATATTGTGTAATATATAATATAATATTTCCGATTAAAAAACAATGAATAAGTCATATAATTGGTTAATTAACTTATAAATTCGTAAATAAATAGTAAAAATACTATTTTATGTATAAGTGACATACATAAAGTGTGTATACAAGGGTGAGTGATGCTGTATATAAAGCATTTATAGAAGTGTGGGTGATAATTTTAGCCAGGTATTTCTTATAATTAGACTAGAACAAGTGTATTTATATTTTAAAATATATTATTTAAAACATACTTATCGATTGAAAATGTGTCATTGAGTAATATTCTTTCGGTAGTAGTCGATTGATTAGCATTTATGTAAGTCATATTGTATTCATCAGTGGAATTAGAGCGAAATATTATAAATATTATATTCACATTCTTTTCCACGTCCTATAAAATATTTTTTATAAAATTTTAAAATATTCCTTTTATATTTTTAAAACATTTTATCGGATTTCTTACAATTTCTGTTCCGTTTTCTTCTCCACTGTTGATGAAGAACATCTCTACATCTTAGAAAAATAATTAAAAATGAAACATTGCTCATTAATTATAATATAAATTAATCTTAAATATGTTAAAACTTACTTTTAAAGTAAACAGAAAGCAAGAAAATCAAAACAAACTTCATTTTCCTCTGAAAATTTCAAATTTAATCACTTAACACTCATAATTATCCCCTATATATAGGCCTATATATAAGATAATTTGCTTAAAAACACCTGTAAAATTATAAAATTAAAATTTTGCTTATTATAAGACCTAAACCTGTTTATAGCCCTATAATAAAATGTATCACCCTGAATACATGGCCCATAATTTTTTAGATAAACTCTTCTATATTATGTGTAACCAAGAATAAATATATATATATATATATATATTATTGTATGATTTATAGAGGGATAATAAAGAGGATTAATATAATTATTTATCTTAATCTGTGACAATTTGACACGTTTTTCCTACCCAACAAATGTACATTGCATAAAGAAAGACACAGCAACTGAAACAAAAATGAATACAAGTTACATTATTTTCGTTTATGCCCTCTGTTTAATGGGTTTTATCTACATTTTATTAAGTATGCTAACAGATAATATATAAACTCCACGACTCTATACGTAGATTTAATGATAAGTGTCAAAGAAAACGAAGAAAAGTATGGATTGGTATGAAATTTATTACATACTTTAAGGTAAGGTTAGACGTTCTTTTAATATAATAATCTGCAGGCGAGTAAACACACCATTAACAATTTTATAATCGTACAAAACAATACGCATGCCAAAGGGCATTAAATTGTTCTTTTATCTTCTCTTTAACTCTGGACATCTTAACATTTTAAGAGACTTTAAGTGCTTGAACTTTGACACTTTCTAGCTCGAAAACTATTTTATTTTTTCGACATTTCGGATATTTCTAATAGTACACTTGACGTCCTCTTCCCATAGTATTATTTCGTTTAATTCTTTATGGATTCTGCTTCTATTTAAGCATTCTAAACTAATTAATGAGCCAGATTTAGTGAATGAGCACAATATAGATTTATATACGTATATAATACTATTTTTCTTTTTATTTTCGCCAAATTTTATCTCATTCTGCCGAAATTTTAGGCAGTTAAATATTTGTAACACCTGTAAATGGCGCTTCACCTCATAACAATACTGTATTTAAATGTTATACACGTTAGAAAACCTGGAAAAACCTCAAGTGCTATCCTGTTGGTCAGGAGCGAACCCACGACCGGTTGGTTGGTAGTGGGTTCGCATCAGATCAGGTTGTGGTTGTGGTTACAGTATTTTATTTGTGATGTTTATTAATTTTACTACCGCATGAGGGCGCTGCGGTGTGGAAGCGCGTGGTACGAAAATAAAGCGGCCATTGTTTATTACTCTTTGTTTAAATTATTGTCTTATTACGTAAAATTCGACGATGCTCTTCAAAGTTGGTCTCTTCTAGCGCACGTAGAACTTTTCTTTTGAGATTTGAAAAAACATTATTAAAAGTAAGTCTTGTTTTTTTTTTGTGGGCTACGATCAGCTTATGAAAAGAGCCACGTGGTTTACTACGTGGCTCTTTTCATAACGGGAATTTTTTTCTTTTTGCCGTTTTATCCCTGTGGGAACTAACAGGGCCTTTTGAGCAAGGTTGTTATGAGTTTGGCCAGGTTCAAATTCGTTAGGTGGTGAGGCACGAGGGTCGATATATCCGGACGGGGACCACCCACGAAAAATTCCTGGTGTTTTCGATCTCGGGTACCCTAGAGCAATACGCTGTTCCAGTAAGATGCGAGTTCTGAATGAGGGATTTTTCACTCTTGCAGATTTGTAGATTACCCTGCACGAGCAAAAAAGTCAACGGAACCACATCTGTATGTGTNTAAATTAATTTAATAATTAATTGTTTTATTTTAATTATTCCAGAATAAGGAATTTATGGAATAATGGACTTATCGAATTTTGGAATAAAAAGTATTTCCTGACACGTGACGAATGTTCTATTGTTCGAACTACATTAATGGGTGGTAAACGAGGTGTTGCATTGAAGGACTTGGGTGGTGCTTTTGCATTATATTTTCTGGGAATTATATTGGCATTTTTATTATTAATCATTGAATGGACATATAGAAAATGTAAAAACAATAGGAAAAAATTACAGAAGGATATCTGTGTTCGAATTAATATTTCTGATAGAGAGAATAAGTACTTTGTTAAATAAATTTACTCATTTAGTAGTTTATTTCATTGTATGTTTTAGTGTCCAATTATTTATAATTCTAAATTTTTAAGCTGCAATTTTCAATGTGCAAACCTATACGTGTCCACTTTCGTTTGTTTGTCTGCCTTTCCTTTATTAACCTTGAAAACTGAGTTACATAGATGATCGGTACGACTCGATTCTTATCAGAAATATGATACACAGAGGCAAGACATTACTAAAATCCAAACCTGTGGTCAGAGAGTCTGGATTTTAGCAGTGTCTTGCCCCTGTACATCTTACTTCTCCTGTTAACAAATCCGGATTTTAGTGGTCTTGCTCCTAAGCTTTAAATTTAATCCGTATATTTCGTGTTTAAAAATAATTTAACATTGTTTAAACTACAAATAATATATATATATATAAAGCATTTATTATGTTTCTTTAAAGCAGACTACTCGAAAGTATTTCTTTTATTTGTCTATTGAGCATTTTATTTTCAATTGTCCCACTTATTGATAGGTAAATAACATGAACTTGTCTGATAGATTTATCTGTCAAGTTCATGTTATTTTTTTTTACTGAAGTTTGTCACACGCAAACTGTAATAACACTTTTAATTCATCCTTTTGTTAACAATTTTCAAAACTTATTTATCGATATTATTGAATGTTTTATATCTTGTGTTATTTTTCCTTAACTATATGAATTCTACTAACTAAAACACCTAAACGTGGCTGAGCAAAATCCTTTTTATTTAGGCCTATCAATATAAAAACGGGTGCCTCCCGGAAGGACCTTCTACGGAATATTGGTCCCTATTTTAGTGTTCTATTTACAACAAGTGCCTANATCAGGTTGTGGTTGTGGTTACAGTATTTTATTTGTGATGTTTATTAATTTTACTACCGCATGAGGGCGCTGCGGTGTGGAAGCGCGTGGTACGAAAATATGGCTGCCATTGTTTATTACTCTTTGTTTAAATTATTGTCTTATTACGTAAAATTCAACGATGCTCTTCAAAGTTGGTCTCTAGCGCACGTAGAACTTTTCTTTTGAGATTTGAAAAAACATTATTAAAAGTAAGTCTTGTTTTTTTTGTGGGCTACGATCAGCTTATGAAAAGAGCCACGTGGTAAACCACGTGGCTCTTTTCATAACGGGATTTTTTCTTTTTGCTGTTTCATCCCTGTGGGAACTAACAGGGCTTTTTGAGCAATGTTGTTATGGGTTTGGCTAGGTTCAAATTCGTTAGGTGGTGAGGCACGAGAGTCGATATATCCGGACGGGGACCACCCACGAAAAATTCCTGGTGTTTTCGATCTCGGGTACCCTAGAGCAATACGCTGCTCCGGTAAGATGCGAGTTCTGAATGAGGGATTTTTCACTCTTGCAAATTTGTAGATCACCCTGTATGAGCAAAAAAGTCAATGGAACCACATCTGTATGTGTAATCCTGCCTGAGATTTTCACCTTAAAAAATCAGATTTTTTGTGAACCACTACTACTGCTTATTCTCCATGCTTCGGTGCTTGTTGTCACTCCCATGTCAGCAAGTCCCACACCCCTCTAAAACTATATGACTGACTCAATTCAAGCTCCAAATGACCTGGTTGGGATCTTATCAGAGACGTAGAGCATACCTATAGCAGCAAAAAGTCAAAGGAACCATACCGCTACAAGCAACCCTTTATAAGATAATCAGGCCGCGCAAGTCGCGTTGCTCCGTTAAGACTATCATGTTTAACTATTTAGCCCATGAGATTGTTCTGACTTCAAGTAGCCCACTTGACTATTCATGTATACTGGATGTTATATGGTTTTAGGGGGTGTGGGTTCTTGGCACCATCCAGACGTGTGAGCAATAGCACTGAAGCATATGACTGCATGCAGAGTGTCGGTCAAGGCTCGCTATTGCTCGCCTTGACGACACGGAGCCTGGAAAATAGGAAGTATTAACAGATTAGAGAAGAAAAGACCATTATTGTGCACAAGTATAAAGTTTAATTGTACAATGTACAATTAAAGTTTATACCTGTGTATACAATCTTTAATTTGGAGATAATTTTCAGGGTAAAAATTGTCATTAAGAGCAGGAACATCATATTATCATTACATATGCCAGAATTTTCTGCTTATAATCATCTATGCAAACTGGTTGGACTTATGAGGGATTGTAGAGTCTGATATGCATTTCTAATGTTAATAAAAGCATATATTTTTTTGGATCTGATTTCTGACTCCTTTTTCATCACTTTATGTACAAGGTGTGAGAAGTCTGTAAAAATTAGTTGAATTTAGGCAACATCAAGAAACATTTTTAAGCCTTAAACCTTAATATAATTTATTAAGTAACAAGACTTCCAAAACTAAAGGTTCATCATACTTGTTTTTGCTGACCAAATAGCCCAGGTGGCCTACTGTTCTGGAATTGACTCCAGTTAGGTCAGAACTTCAGGGAATTGTCTATCCTGGATCAGGCCCAGTCTTTCATTATCTGGCTGCTTCATTGTGGTCTTGCCAAGTCTGTGAAAGGCTTGAAAAAAGGCTGTCTTAGTTCCCATTGGACAAAAATTGTAAGAAAATAAACTGCTATAATTACAAATATAATCAAACACCAATAGTAAGCTCAGCAAGTGTTTGGTGTTTGATTATATTTGTAAGTAAATGGCTGTGGAAGTGAGAATAATGCTGTAATTAGAAAATTTTTTCAGGACTTCATGTTGGCTTTGGATGTATTTGTGTTGAATATTTTAATGGTAAATGACTTCTTTTGACTATTATTTCTCTCTGATAAGTAAGTGTCATTTTAATTTTACTTTTTCAAATCAGAAAACAGTAAAAAAACTTTGAGGCTGAGTCCCAAAGCATGGGATATCTTAAACTAAATACATTTTTTCCTAAATATTCTACTCTAAAATAGGGGTGTGTCTTATCTGCCTAAAATATATATAACAACAAAAAACAAATAATTTTGATTAAAATATCTGATGGTATTTTATACATTCAAGATGCATTGAAGAGACTAATTTTTTCTTTTTATCATCTTCACTTAAAATCATAGGAACAAACAGCCTTGCTTTACAGAGATGACTTTTTATTAGAAGTATAGCCTCTAATGAATTTAGTTTCTTCAATGTATTTGTAATGTTTAAACAGTGGCATGAGCTGACATTTGATGATAGGGAAGCTGTGCTGGCCCTGGATAGAATCATTGGAAGCATTACATGATAATTTGATGTGTAGCATCCACCAGCTAAACCACTTGAGGTTGGTGCTCTATAAAGCATATGCGTGAATGCCTGTAATCTGGCTGCTTTACACCATTCAAATATTTTTGCCGTGGAAGCTATCCTGTATTCGACAATACAGCACTCCCCTTGTGGAATATGCATTTATGAATTTATATTCAAATATACAATAGCAATCTTATTATTGTTTTTTCACATGTAGTATAGAAATTTGTAATAAGATACATAATGCAATTATAATAAAATATTAATTTTAATTAATTCAAAGTACGGTAAAATATGAAAATAATCACACAATATGTATTTATATTTTATAAAATACAAGGAAACTGGTGCTTCCACAGCTTTCATGGATGTGTTTAAAATAACATTAGCATTTTAATTAGGACTAGTTTAAATGTTATTTACTGTATACAATTCCATTCAATGTCTAAACAAAATTTAAATTTTCTCTTGTGATCTTACAGACATTTTCTATATTAATAAGTGGAATTCATGAAAGCAATCTGATAGCTGTATTTAGGACAATATACTACAGTCACAGTGGCCAAGCTGCAGCTCACAAACTTCAAGTGGCTCTTCTAGAACTTTATTGAGGCTCCCATATATTGGACTTTTATCCCTAATATATGTATGTACAGAATAAAGATTATGTACTGTATAATGTTAGTAATGATGAAAAATATAAATAATGAAATAATTCTCTGCATATTTACATTGTATTTAAAGATGATTGCTTTTCATTTGTGCATTTTTCTTATCAAAATAACTTGTAAGGCAGAAGAGCACTTGACAATTTGTATTTCTTTGCATTTCAGCTCCAATAATTCAATTTAATTATTCATGGAAGTTTGTATATTAGAGTTTAATAGTTGGATCCATTTTATCTATTTCAGAAAATATTTTTTAAAATGTTACTAATTACTATTTGTTAATTTCTTTCAGAGAAAAAATTAAAAGATTTATTAAAAAGATCAAATTATTTATTGAGGAAGCAGCATCAAATTCAACAACTAGAGAGGCATTCACAGCTGGATAATGCTGACAATTTCTTTATGGATTGTTAATATCAGTGCACTGTTTGAGTTAAGGTATGTAAAGAAAAAATTAAATTAAATTATACGATATTTTAAATTTATATTTTCCATTCTTTGCTCTCAGAAATTTAGTTATGTGTAGTATAATCCAAATGTTTGGAAACTCGGTGAGTAGTTCCTTGCTTTGAATAGTTTAAAACACCGATACACAACTACCTTCAAAACAGTCTCCTTGTATGACAATACACTTTCTCCAGCTCTTGTAAAACTTCTGGAAGCGTTGCTTTAACCCATCTTTTGCAACCACCCATAATGCTTTCTATGATGCTGCTCTTACCTCCTTTGATTAATCAAAATGAAGTCAAAACAATCTCAGACCATTTACAATGAATGGATTCACCAAAATGCCACATTTTACATCCAAACATGCAATGTTTGATTGTATCCATCTGTCATAAAATGGCCTGAGATTGTTTTGATATAATTTTGAATCACAAATGAGATAAAAGCTGCAATAAACCCATAATTGGTTTATTGGTTGCAATAGGACTTACAGTATACTTCCAGAAGCTATATGAAAAAAGTGTATCGTCACCCAAGAAAATTAGTTTGTAGGTGGCTGTGCATTGGTATTTTAAACTATTCAAGGTAAGGAACTATAGGTCAAGTCCCCAAAATTTTGGATTGTACCATGAATATTTAAAAAACGCATTGTGACATCTAATAGGTAACATGTTGATGGCATATCTGAAGAATTGTAATATCTTAACACCAATTGTTTGCATTAAAAGATAAGAAAATAAAATATAAATTTATATTTAAATTTCTAAAAATAAGAAAAAAAAATATAGAGAGATATTTTTCTATATATTCTTTTCTGTTATATAAATGAGAAATTAATATGTACAAAAAAATTTCATAAATTATTCTTGGATGCAAAGGAAATCATGATGATTTAGTTCATGAAAGTACAGATATAAGTAAAGAAAGAAGCTAAGCTTCTTGATTTCCTGATATCACACAGGTAGTTTTTGATTAGTGTGTAATGTTTCTTGAAAATAGAGAAAGATGTTACGAGAACTTGCCTTATCTTCTCTGGAACTACATTATACTTAATTGAAGTGAGTTGTAATATAAAATATTTCTTAATTAATAAACATGTCCTAATAGCAACGACAATATAGGTTAACATGATGTAAAGTACATTAATCAAGAACTATCTGTGTTTGATAGAACATATTTTTAATTTACATAATTTAACTTCTCTTCACAAAAAGAAATTAATTCCAAATTATTTATTTAACAAGCATAGTGATTAAAAAATTGCTAAGTGACTTTAAACCAGACATTGAGAGATGATTATTGAGTTCATTTCTCACATTAATAAATAATTTACTAAAAATGGCATAATATTATATTAAATTTGTTGTTCTAGATTCTTGCTAAATGAGCTATTTTTTTTAGTTCAAAACACTGATTTAAGTTTATTAATTTTATTGAATAATTATATTGTAAAAGTTTTAATTAGTTATTAAAATACAATTAATTATTAATTACATATTTGTTCCATAATTATATGCAATATTTGTAATCCATAATATTTAGCATGGGACACTCAACACTAAGATATAAAAGATTCATTTGTACTGTGATTCATCAGATCATTACGAGACAGCTTTTAATGTTTTTTGTTTTAACTGTTACTTAGTAATTCCTCATAGAGGATAAAGTTATTCAGTTTTGTTATACATTAAACTTTAAAAAAATTTTCTGACTCTAATTTCTTATAGAAACATCACAAACAATCACCTAAATAATTGGGCTATAACTCCACTAGTCATTTGATGAGGTTTCTATATACATATCAGGCTCTGCGATGTTTGTTATACCTAATTTCATATATCGAAACATTTGCTAATTTGTTGTAGAGAAATACCAAAACTAGAATTCATAAATTAAGTAATACCTAAAACTTCCAGATTAATTTTATGTTGATAAATTAAAGTAATAAAAATGAAATGTAAGAAAAATTTGGGACTATTAAAAATTGGCTAGTGTCAGATTACTGGAATGAAGAAAGCAGAGTGAGTAAATAAAAAGGGCAGTTCATCATATCTTATATTATTAAATGTTTTAATACACAGTAATGAATACAGGAAAGAAAAATATATACAATATTATAATGTTACATTTTATATGCTATTGAGTATTTTGTATCAAAGAAGCCATTATGTAGAAAAATAGTTTTCAATAAGTATTTGTCTCATAGTAGCCATCCTAGCCTTAAACATTTTCTCTCATACCTTTGCCAAAGCATGGCTTTTTCACCATAAATTCTGCCAATGAACATAGGTTTATATTTAATAATATTCATACTTTCAGTAGTACTCCTACCCACAGTTTTCATTATACTCACACAACTTGGCAGTATTTTCCTGACACCTTTAGGAATATTTTGGCTGGCTCCCCGCAAATTCCATTCCTTAACGCAAATAAAAGTGTTTTCCCCTGTATCCCATACCCTAATATGACTTATTGCTGGATTAGTGAGATTCTACTGTATATGCCTTACTCAAAAAAGAATTATCTTATCATAATGTTAAAAGTACAGTGCACTTTTCTCTTGATTTTTACTATCTACTGTATTTCAATTAATGGGATTACATATAAAGAAAAGGAAGTCAAGAAGAACTATAGACAAATCTGTGTATATTTAAAAAGTTTTTAAATATGTGTATCCAATGTGGTGTATATTAAAAAGTGTGATACATATATAAACATTTAATCCATAACCTGAGTTTTTAATTAAAACCAAATGAACTACTGGATTATTGAGCTATATTAAGGCTAATTTTTAGTAATTAATTATAAAATAATTTGACTAGAGATAGGCAATTTGGCCACCATCTCTTGATAAATTTAATAATTGTAAATAAGTTAATTTTTAATTTTAATTTAGAAAGTTCTGGAAGAAAGAAATTGGTCCAGAACAGGACTTGAACCCACAACTCCTGCATACCACGCAGATGCAGATGCCAGTTACATTCCTATACCATCATTCAAAGTTTTCGTCCAGAACTATTAATAATTAAGATATAATACATAGTGATCACATAAATTACTTTATAATTAATTATTCAAAATTAGCCTTTATTAAGCCTGACATCTGGTAGTTTGACTGGCTTTAGTGTGATAAATATTAATTTAAAACATTTTTCATTTTCTTTAAATCTATGTTGTTTTTTGGTTTTGGCTGGAGTAATTAATAATTTAATTTTTTTTATTTTGATCTGGAGCATTGAAACTTTCATTCATTTTCCTCATGAGTCTTGAGGAACAGTGATTATCATCTGGTAACATGTAAGGATCTAGAGACAGTAATGCCTATAGTAACTAGAGACAATAACAGCAGATATAGAAGTGGAGTGATTAATATTCTAAGAATTAGAAATGAAGAGGATAAGAGAAAGAAAATTCACAATTGTACTAACTGCAAGCATTTTAACATCAAATCCTTTTTGGTAAGTCTTTATTTTTTCTGGCCAACTAGCACATTCTTAGGTTAACCTTTCACCTCTGTGTAGGATGAACAGCTAGTACTTCCTACATAGGGTTCCAACTGGCAATTGGGCCTCTTTACAATTCTTACACAAAACACTTCATTCCTTTTATTACTGATTGGCTATATATATATGCTATCCTATGCTATATATGTATATGTAATGTGTGTATGTCTCTGCAGATTTAACTGTTTGTATGAATATAAAAAAATACATTTAATTTTTATCTTTGAGATGATTTAACATGTAATAAATTCTATAGACTTTGATGTACTCAGTGACAAATTTACTCAAATAGAGAAAAACATCTTACATAATATTCAAGAAAATCAAGATTTAATCCGAAATACATGAAAAATGGTTAAATCTGAGTTAGTAAAGAATGAGCTGCTTCATCCTAGGATATATCTCTGGCCATTAATTAGCCAGAAGTANGCTTGAACTTTGACACTTTCTAGCTCGAAAACTATTTTATTTTTTCGACATTTCGGATATTTCTAATAGTACACTTGACGTCCTCTTCCCATAGTATTATTTCGTTTAATTCTTTATGGATTCTGCTTCTATTTAAGCATTCTAAACTAATTAATGAGCCAGATTTAGTGAATGAGCACAATATAGATTTATATACGTATATAATACTATTTTTCTTTTTATTTTCGCCAAATTTTATCTCATTCTGCCGAAATTTTAGGCAGTTAAATATTTGTAACACCTGTAAATGGCGCTTCACCTCATAACAATACTGTATTTAAATGTTATACACGTTAGAAAACCTGGAAAAACCTCAAGTGCTATCCTGTTGGTCAGGAGCGAACCCACGACCGGTTGGTTGGTAGTGGGTTCGCATCAGATCAGGTTGTGGTTGTGGTTACAGTATTTTATTTGTGATGTTTATTAATTTTACTACCGCATGAGGGCGCTGCGGTGTGGAAGCGCGTGGTACGAAAATATGGCTGCCATTGTTTATTACTCTTTGTTTAAATTATTGTCTTATTACGTAAAATTCAACGATGCTCTTCAAAGTTGGTCTCTAGCGCACGTAGAACTTTTCTTTTGAGATTTGAAAAAACATTATTAAAAGTAAGTCTTGTTTTTTTTGTGGGCTACGATCAGCTTATGAAAAGAGCCACGTGGTAAACCACGTGGCTCTTTTCATAACGGGATTTTTTCTTTTTGCTGTTTCATCCCTGTGGGAACTAACAGGGCTTTTTGAGCAATGTTGTTATGGGTTTGGCTAGGTTCAAATTCGTTAGGTGGTGAGGCACGAGAGTCGATATATCCGGACGGGGACCACCCACGAAAAATTCCTGGTGTTTTCGATCTCGGGTACCCTAGAGCAATACGCTGCTCCGGTAAGATGCGAGTTCTGAATGAGGGATTTTTCACTCTTGCAAATTTGTAGATCACCCTGTATGAGCAAAAAAGTCAATGGAACCACATCTGTATGTGTAATCCTGCCTGAGATTTTCACCTTAAAAAATCAGATTTTTTGTGAACCACTACTACTGCTTATTCTCCATGCTTCGGTGCTTGTTGTCACTCCCATGTCAGCAAGTCCCACACCCCTCTAAAACTATATGACTGACTCAATTCAAGCTCCAAATGACCTGGTTGGGATCTTATCAGAGACGTAGAGCATACCTATAGCAGCAAAAAGTCAAAGGAACCATACCGCTACAAGCAACCCTTTATAAGATAATCAGGCCGCGCAAGTCGCGTTGCTCCGTTAAGACTATCATGTTTAACTATTTAGCCCATGAGATTGTTCTGACTTCAAGTAGCCCACTTGACTATTCATGTATACTGGATGTTATATGGTTTTAGGGGGTGTGGGTTCTTGGCACCATCCAGACGTGTGAGCAATAGCACTGAAGCATATGACTGCATGCAGAGTGTCGGTCAAGGCTCGCTATTGCTCGCCTTGACGACACGGAGCCTGGAAAATAGGAAGTATTAACAGATTAGAGAAGAAAAGACCATTATTGTGCACAAGTATAAAGTTTAATTGTACAATGTACAATTAAAGTTTATACCTGTGTATACAATCTTTAATTTGGAGATAATTTTCAGGGTAAAAATTGTCATTAAGAGCAGGAACATCATATTATCATTACATATGCCAGAATTTTCTGCTTATAATCATCTATGCAAACTGGTTGGACTTATGAGGGATTGTAGAGTCTGATATGCATTTCTAATGTTAATAAAAGCATATATTTTTTTGGATCTGATTTCTGACTCCTTTTTCATCACTTTATGTACAAGGTGTGAGAAGTCTGTAAAAATTAGTTGAATTTAGGCAACATCAAGAAACATTTTTAAGCCTTAAACCTTAATATAATTTATTAAGTAACAAGACTTCCAAAACTAAAGGTTCATCATACTTGTTTTTGCTGACCAAATAGCCCAGGTGGCCTACTGTTCTGGAATTGACTCCAGTTAGGTCAGAACTTCAGGGAATTGTCTATCCTGGATCAGGCCCAGTCTTTCATTATCTGGCTGCTTCATTGTGGTCTTGCCAAGTCTGTGAAAGGCTTGAAAAAAGGCTGTCTTAGTTCCCATTGGACAAAAATTGTAAGAAAATAAACTGCTATAATTACAAATATAATCAAACACCAATAGTAAGCTCAGCAAGTGTTTGGTGTTTGATTATATTTGTAAGTAAATGGCTGTGGAAGTGAGAATAATGCTGTAATTAGAAAATTTTTTCAGGACTTCATGTTGGCTTTGGATGTATTTGTGTTGAATATTTTAATGGTAAATGACTTCTTTTGACTATTATTTCTCTCTGATAAGTAAGTGTCATTTTAATTTTACTTTTTCAAATCAGAAAACAGTAAAAAAACTTTGAGGCTGAGTCCCAAAGCATGGGATATCTTAAACTAAATACATTTTTTCCTAAATATTCTATTCTAAAATAGGGGTGTGTCTTATCTGCCTAAAATATAAATAACAACAAGAAACAAATAATTTTGATTAAAATATCTGATGGTATTTTATACATTCAAGATGCATTGAAGAGACTAATTTTTTCTTTTTATCATCTTCACTTAAAATCATAGGAACAAACAGTCTTGCTTTACAGAGATGACTTTTTATTAGAAGTATAGCCTCTAATGAATTTAGTTTCTTCAATGTATTTGTAATGTTTAAACAGTGGCATGAGCTGACATTTGATGATAGGGAAGCTGTGCTGGCCCTGGATAGAATCATTGGAAGCATTACATGATAATTTGATGTGTAGCATCCACCAGCTAAACCACTTGAGGTTGGTGCTCTATAAAGCATATGCGTGAATGCCTGTAATCTGGCTGCTTTACACCATTCAAATATTTTTGCCGTGGAAGCTATCCTGTATTCGACAATACAGCACTCCCCTTGTGGAATATGCATTTATGAATTTATATTCAAATATACAATAGCAATCTTATTATTGTTTTTTCACATGTAGTATAGAAATTTGTAATAAGATACATAATGCAATTATAATAAAATATTAATTTTAATTAATTCAAAGTACGGTAAAATATGAAAATAATCACACAATATGTATTTATATTTTATAAAATACAAGGAAACTGGTGCTTCCACAGCTTTCATGGATGTGTTTAAAATAACATTAGCATTTTAATTAGGACTAGTTTAAATGTTATTTACTGTATACAATTCCATTCAATGTCTAAACAAAATTTAAATTTTCTCTTGTGATCTTACAGACATTTTCTATATTAATAAGTGGAATTCATGAAAGCAATCTGATAGCTGTATTTAGGACAATATACTACAGTCACAGTGGCCAAGCTGCAGCTCACAAACTTCAAGTGGCTCTTCTAGAACTTTATTGAGGCTCCCATATATTGGACTTTTATCCCTAATATATGTATGTACAGAATAAAGATTATGTACTGTATAATGTTAGTAATGATGAAAAATATAAATAATGAAATAATTCTCTGCATATTTACATTGTATTTAAAGATGATTGCTTTTCATTTGTGCATTTTTCTTATCAAAATAACTTGTAAGGCAGAAGAGCACTTGACAATTTGTATTTCTTTGCATTTCAGCTCCAATAATTCAATTTAATTATTCATGGAAGTTTGTATATTAGAGTTTAATAGTTGGATCCATTTTATCTATTTCAGAAAATATTTTTTAAAATGTTACTAATTACTATTTGTTAATTTCTTTCAGAGAAAAAATTAAAAGATTTATTAAAAAGATCAAATTATTTATTGAGGAAGCAGCATCAAATTCAAAAATTAGAGAGGCATTCACAGCTGGATAATGCTGACAATTTCTTTATGGATTGTTAATATCAGTGCACTGTTTGAATTAAGGTATGTAAAGAAAAAATTAAACTAAATTATACGATATTTTAAATTTATATTTTCCATTCTTTGCTCTCAGAAATTTAGTTATATGTAATAGAATCCAAATCAGTTTATTAATCCAAATCAGTGGGAACTCAGTGAATAGTTCCTTGCTTTGAATAGTTTAAAACACCGATATACAACCACCTTCAAAAGAGTATCCTTGTATGACAATACACTTTCTCCAGCTCTTGTAAAGCTTCTGGAAGCATTGCTGTAAGCCATCTTCTGCAACCACCCATAATGATTTCTATGATGCTGCTCTTACCTCCTTTGCTTACTCAAAATGAAGTCAAAACAATCTCAGACCATTTATGATGAATGGATCCACCAAAATGCCACATTTTACATCCAAACATGCAACGTTTGATTGCATCCATCTGTCATAAAATGGCCTGAGATTGTTTTGATATCATTTTGAATCACAAATGAGATAAAAGCAGCAATAAACCCATAATTTGTTTATTGGTTGCAAAAGGACTTACAGTATACTTCCAGAAGCTATATGAAAAAAGTGTATTGTCACGCAAGAAAATTAGTTTGTAGGTGGCTGTGCATTGGTAT